GAGCGGCGGCGGGCCCCCACAAGGCACGAACCCGTCGCTGGCGCGGGCGGGGATGCTCGGCGGGCGGTGGTGGCGCCCGCGCTGGGAGAGCTTTTGCGGGAGATGTGGGCGGGCGGGCGGGTGACGGTCAACCCGTCGCGCTTCCTGGATGCGGTGAGCGCCCGGCGGCTCTGCATCCTGTGGCATGCCCTGCCTGTCGCCAAAGGCCGGGGACGCAGGGGCCGAGGCGGGCACGTGCGCGCTCTTGAGGCAACGGCCCCACACTGCGGCCGGTTGAGGAGGCGCGGGCACACGCTCTCGCAGCTGTGTCCGAGGCAGTCTTGCACGCTGGCTCACCGCCGCCCCTGACACAAAGGGAGGATCTCGCCCCACGTCTGGCGTCGCGTTGCGTCTATATCTCATCCAGGTGTCGCGCCACGACGGCCGCTGGGGTGAGGGCTACCAGCAGGACTGCGAAGAGTTTTTGCACAGCCTGCTCACTGCGCTGCAGGTACGGGGCGCCTGTCCCTCTCCCACCAGAGTCGTGCGATGCGGGAGGAGGAGGGGACGCGCACAGGACAGCGGCCCTGCATCCGAGGGCCTGCTGCTGCGTTGTTGGGCCCCGCCCGGCGCCGCGAATTCGCTGGGCGCTGGCCAGCATGCGCCGCGCTTGCTTGCCGCGGACGGCTCCACTGATGCGGCGAGCCCGCGCGGTTCGATACGAAGGCGGTGCGACGCACATTGCTTCCTCACACGTCCGTGCTCATGCCCGACCCTCTCGCCCCCAAACAATCCACACACACACACACACACACACACACACATACGCACGCACGCGCGCTCGCGCTCTTATACACACGCGCACGCACGAACACACACCACCCCCCTCCCTGCCGCCCAGTCGGACTGCAACCGCGTGCCGGGCAAGCCCTCCTACCGCGAGCTCACCGGCAAGGGCTCCGAGGCGGAGCAGGCGGAGGAGGCGCGGTCGTACCAGCTGAGCTGGCACGACTCCGTGGTCGAGGACGTGTTTGTGGGGCAGCTGCAAAGCACCATAACGTGCGCGGCCTGCGGCGGCGCCAGCCACTGCTTCGACCCCTTCTACAGCCTCGCGCTGCCGCTGCCGGCGAAGGGGGGGCCCGTGGCCGTGCAGGTGAACACGGGCAGCAAACACGCAGGGGGCCGGGTGCCTGGGCCGGGCGGGAGCCATGGGGGTCGCCACTTGAACGCCGCTGCAGCATGGCAGCCGCGGGCCGCGGGAGATCTGGGGCCTGGGATTATCTGAAACCAAGCTTCACAGATGCTTCGAGGCGGAGCCACCAATACTCCTGATCTCTGCAGCTGCAGTTTTATCGACTGCTCGCCTCCCTCCTGGCACCACCTGAATGAATGGATCCTTTCGCGCCAACTCGGCCTTTTAATGCATTGCGCGCGTCGCCTCCTCCCCAAAACCAGGACCTTTTGGCGGCGTTTGTGCAGCGGGAGGAGCTGCAGGACAGCGAGCGCTACCGCTGCGACCGCTGCGGCCCCGACAAAAAGCAGCCCGCCTCCAAGCGCCTGCAGATCTGGTCCTACCCGCCAAACACCCTCGTGCTCACCCTCAAGCGCTTCTCCAGCAGCGGCGGCGGCGGCGGGGCCATCCCCAGCCTGGGCGCGTTCGGGGGCCGGTTCTCGGCCGCGCGGAAGGTCGCCACGCCGGTGCTGCTGCAGCCGGCGGGCGCGCTCGACCTGCGGCCGTACTGCAACCCGCGGGGGCTCAAGGAGTGTGTCGCCAGGGGCTGCCCGGCGCCGGTGTACCGGCTTGTGGCGGTCGCCAACCACTCGGGGACGCTCGGCGGAGGTGGGGGCCGGGGCTGAGCCTTTTGGGGCTGGAAGGGCGGGGTACAGCAACGTTGGCTCCGCTTGCCAGCCTCCAGCGGCGACAATGGAGGCCGGGTTTGCCTGCAGCCACAGGAATGAGTGGCTTGAGCCAGGGTAAAACAGCGGGGGGACCCGTGCTAGCCGGCGCGCTCCCCTGGCCACACCCTGCGCCCCTCTCGCCTTCCTCTCCCCCTGCCGGCCAGGCCACTACACAGCCATGGGACGCAGCGCCACAGATGGCTGTTGGTACGAGTTCAACGACTCGACGGTCTCGTGCTGCGACCCCCCCAGCGGCGCCAGCTGCGACGCGTACGCGCTCTTCTACCGCTTGGTCGGCTGCAGCGGGGGCGGCGGCGGCACCTTCTGCGGAAGTAGAGAATGAGCACGGCGGCAGGGATCACGTGGCCGCGGCGGGTGCTTTGCTTCAGGATGCGCCGTCCGCGGGCCCGATCTCAGGCCTGGAGGGAAGATTAGAGTACTGTGCGCCGGCGCCCGCTCCCAGGCGGGCGAGTTTGGCAGCCTTGTGTGCGTGGCGAGGTGAGTGGCGGACCGCGCCACACCTTGCGCGCTTCCGCGTGCCGTGTGACACTCCCTTGGCTCAACTCAGACTCACAAAATCTGACTGACTTGCGGCCAGTGCCCACCCCTACTGCTGGGTGCTCTACTGTGCTCTTGTTGACGTGCGTTTTGATGACAGTTTCGTGATGAGAGTGCCGAAACAACGCTTTGGAGATGTGCTGTTGGTGTGTGTCCCTGGAATAGTCTGCAGCCCCGCCGATCTCAGCCAAATGTTGCAGCTTTTGTGCTAGGAGTGTTCGCGACCAGATTAGCGGCCCCGCTCGCGTGTGCCCTGACAAACTGAAACCGCCCGGCGGTGCTTCTTCTCATGACACATCATCGGGCCCATGCTGAACGGGCAGGTGAAGCCGTACCATTTTACATGTCACACGGCCCCTAGGTGTGCCGCAGGGCGAGCGGGCCGGTGGCACCGCAATGTGCTGGCCGAGCACTGCTTGCGGGGGGCGCAGAGCCCTCTGCCCGAGACCCTTGCCATTGCGGCCTTGCTCATCGACTGTACGCCTCCGGCTGCTTGCAACCTTGCGCGAAACTTTGCCGCAAGCCATTTTGTAACAGCATAACCCATGTACATCCCGCGCATGGCATGTTGTATGACGTGCGGAAGTGACCAGGATGGCAGCCGGCGCGCACCACATAAAAGTGCCCAGCAGGGTGGTGCTGTGAAGTTGGCACATTTCAGGGGAGGGCGCATTCATGTCGCAGCTGGCGTGCTAGGCCATGGGTCCTGCCACCTGCATACATCAAGCCAGGGTGAGGCGCACAATATTTCGAGGCAGGGCGGCTGAGGTGCTCAATGCTGCCATGGCTGGTCTGCACGCCTAGAGAGACTGGCGGGCGTACCGCACCCCAGGGCGCCCAACAAGCACACCCTTTTAGCATCTTCATCGACAGGTAATATTTTTTCAGTGTCCAGCGGTCTACCAGACGAGGTCAAGAGTGTTCCCAAGTCTCATCAGTGCTGTATGTCATCGAATCGTCCAGGCGCGGGTGAGACACGGTTACCTCTGTTTAATAATCGACAACGACATGCTTTTTGCAAATTACGATAACACACTCAAGTCCGTCGACCCGTTGCAGGGAAGCGACGCAGCTGGGTGTGGCAACGAGTGCTGCTGTCCGGTGACAGGGCCCCGTTGTTACTGGAGCGCGATCGGCTGCAGAAGGTACAGCGACCCCTCTGACAGTCTCAAGAGTCTAGCGCAAGATCGTCGGGTCGCACCCCGGTCACCGCGCCTGGCGAGATGTTGCAGGCGGCTCTCGCCGTGCTGCTGCTGGCGAGCGCATGTGCTGGTGAGATACTTGAAGATGCGCTGGGTCCAGGCGTTCTTCGCCCGGTCGATTGCAAGGCGGTGCTTCTTGTGGACGCCGGATGGTGTTTTAAATAACGACAGCCTCTCGATTTAGCCGCATGAGCACTCTGGTTGCTGGACCGTTCGTGCCCGCCCAGCAGACTGGTGTCCGTGGGATGCCAGTGCCGATCGCACCCATCATGCCCCCTCGGCCCATGTTGCTGCCGCCGCGCGCAGGCGCCCCCTACCCCACGGCGCTCGCGGTGAGACGGCGCCTGGTGTGAGCCTAGTGCCAAACAAACAATTACAAAAGGGCGCAGCCCAACCGTATTATCAACGCCCCGCGCGGTCTGCCTGGCGCAACGCGCGTTGCGTGTAGTGGCCCTGTGCATGAGCACACCAGGCACCCGGCGCTGCTGGCCGCCGCGGCGCCGCCTGCCTCTCCAACCTGGCGCCGCACAGCCAACCGCATCCGATGCTGGTGCCAAACCTGCCCTCCCTGTGTACAACCCCCTCTGTGCCCTGCACACCCGCACCCATATGTACTACCCCTCCAGACCCTGAACTCAGAAAAAGACCTCAGCCTGTTCACCAAGCTGGCGGACATCTCCGGGCTGCGGCCCTACCTCGACTCCACCTACACACGCGCCACCATCTTTGCGCCCAGTAACGCAGTGCGTGCGCCGCTTTGAGCGCGCGGGTGGCAGGCGCCTTTGCGGCGTGGTCGGGGGGCTGGCACCGCATCTCAGCAGTGTGCCATCGTGCCCAACGCACTGGGAGCGAGCGCGCGCTTGGCCGCAAGGCATGCCCCGCCCCGCCTTCCTGCCACGCACGCACCCCTGAGCGCCGACAGGTTTCGCCGCCCTTCTCCCATCACACCCCCCGCGCCGTGCGAAAAGGCCATCACAGCGCTGGCGGCCGCTCTGAAGATCAAGCCTGAGGACCTGGCTCTGCCCCGCAACCAGCTCCTGGTGGACCGCCTGGTGGGGTACCATGTCATCACGAAATCTGGAAACCTGGCGGCCAAGTCCCTGACCAGCGGCGAGGTCCTGGTGAGCGGGCCAGCAGGCGGCGGCGCGGACGGCGAGTGTCGTGGGAAGCGCCGCCCACCGCTGGCGCATCGGGCCGGCCCCCGACGGCATGGCGCGCTGCTCGGCGCTGCCTTCCGGTGCAGCCCTGCTCGCGGCTGCTTGAGGCCCGAAGTTTCCTCACTCTTACCGCTTTGGTTTGCACCCACCATCGCAGCACACGGTCGGCGGCGGCAACGTCTCAGTGTCGATCGCCGGCAAAACGAACCGCCGCCGCCTCATAGAAAAGCCGTCCGCTGTCAACGCCACCAAGGCGCTGGTCAATGCCACTGCCAACGCCACTGCCAGCGCCACTGCCAATGCCACTGCCAAGGCCAACCGCACCGGCCCCGCTGTTGTGAGCGCGAGTGCTTTGAAGGTCGCCGCTAAGGTGAGGGGTGCAATCTCTAGTAGAGTGATTGGCTGTTGCATGCGCGCAGCTGCACCCGCTGTCGCCGCCAAATGTTTGTGCTGCAATCGCCGTTCCCCGCGTTATTCAGATCCCTGGGATGAGCTTTGTCATGTTCTGGTCACGTGCCTCCCCGTGACGCGAGTGTTCATGACCACCATGCGCATTGCTCCCTACAGCTGGCCACGGGGCGGCGCCTTCACGCCACCAAGCCCGGCGCTGTCAACGCTACCAAGGCGCTAGTCAACACCACCGCCAACGCCACGGCCAAGGCCACCGCCAAGGCCAACCTGACTTCCCCCGCCGTCAAGAGCGCGAGTGCTATCAAGGTCGCTGCGAAGGTGACAAACAATGCATATAAAATCGTGCTATGTGTGGGAGACGCAATGGTGCACCCTTGGCCGTCATGCACATATCTGGGCTTAAACTTTGTTCCCGCAGCCTCACCACCCCAAACCCTTCGCATTTTGCAGGTCGCCGCTGCCTCACCCTCTGCAGTCTTCAACACGACTGCCCGCCTGCCAGGGCTGCTGTCGGGGGCGCCCAGCCTGGGGCGCCTGGGCCACCGCCACCTGCTGGCGAGGCCGAAGCCGTCTGCAAGGAATGCCACAAAGGCGCGGGCCAAGGCCAGTGCCAACGCCACTGCCAACGCCATTGCAGACGCCACTGCTGACGCCACGGACAGCGCCACTGCCAATGCCACAGCCAACGCCACGGACAGCGCCACTGCCAACGCCACTGCCAACGCCACAGCAACGGCCAACCGCACCGGCCCCGTCGTCATGAGTGCGAGTGCCATCAAGATTGCTGCCAAGGTGACATACCGTAGAAAAAAATCTGCATGATAGGGTCCACAGCAGCTCACGAGCCACGACATGTCACTCTTGTTGCTGTCATGTGCATTCCTAGGCTCAACCTCTGCACCCACAGCCTCACCCAACCCAACTCCTTTGCACTTTGCAGGTGGCCGCTGCCTCACCCTCTGCGGTCTTCAACACGACTGCCCGCCTGCCAGGGCTGCTGTCGGGGGCGCCCAGCCTGGGGCGCCTGGGCGGCCGCCACCTGCTGGCGAGGCCGAGGCCATCGGCAAGGAATGCCACCAAGGCACTGGCCAAGGCCACTGCCAAGGCCAGGGCCAGGGCCAATGCCACTGCCAACGCCAACGCCAACGCCACCGCCAAGGCCAGTGCCAACGGCACTGCCAAGGCCAACCAGACTGCCCCCGCCGTCAAGAGCGCGAGTGCTATCAAGGTCGCCGCCAAGGTACTAGCTGCGCCTTTGCCAGTCAAGCTGTGCTGGACCTAAGTTGCAACGTGCAAGCACCCTTGCGCATTGGGAACGGCGCATCCCTTCCATAGCATGCTTTTCAGCACTCACTGGGGTGCAGGCCATGGCCAGTATCCTCCCCTTTCAACCCCATCCTTTAGCCTGCAAGCCCACTGAGTTCACCCTGCCTGATGCCACCCGCAGCTCGCCACAGCCGCGCCCAAGCCCAAGCCGGATGTTGGTCGCCACCTGTTGAGCAGCTTCCTTCGGATGCTGCACGCTGAGCCTGCTAAGAAGGCCAGCCCGTCCCCCGCCCCGGCAAAGAAGGCGGGCACTTCCCCTGCCCCAGCCAAGAAGGCAGGCACCTCCCCCGCCCCGGCCAAAAAGGCCGCCGCCTCCCCACCCGCCGCTGCCAAGCCTGCTACCTCAGCCCCTGCGCCCAAGCCCGCTGCGCCGAGCGGGCCCATTGTCACAATCAAGGGCGTGCAGGTGCGCACCACAAAAAAGCGCGCTTGCTCCGCCTGCACTGCAGGGCCGCTGGCTGATGTTGCCACAGCCAAACTCTCACAAGGCTGCCGCGCCAGGAATGCTGCTGGTCGTTTTAATCTCAGGGAGACGCCCGCCTTCTGCAGTGTTCAGCTACACCACACCTTGCACTTTTTAGCTAGTATCGCGTGCATCATGCACACATGTGCGCACACATATACGTGCACATACACGAGCGCACGCCTACACACATACGCCTACACACACGCCTAAACACACGCCAACACACACACACACACACGCCATACACTGAACACATCACACGTAAACGTGCGCAGAACTCTGCCAAGGTGATTGGCACGGACCTGGTTGGTGGCAATGTGACGATCCACGTCATCGACAACGTGCTGCTGCCCGCCACCGTGAGTTGACACCCCTGCCGGCACATCAGCCACCATCACCCCTGTCGCACCCTCCGGCGTGACCGGACCCGCTCATGCGCAAGAGCTGCCCCGGGGAACGCCAGATGCCCTTGGCGTGCACCGGCCGGCGAGGCCTAGTTCACAGCTCAGCACCCCCTCTCAAGGGGTGTTCTGGAGAGCTCGTGACGCGTGATTCGCCCCCCTCCTATGTCGTAATCCGATGCTGTACTCCGACCGCCGATGGTCTGCCGCCAGGAACCAGCTCAAAGCAAAGGAAACACCCCACCACCACCACCACCACCACCCTCGGCCCCGCAGGTTTTCAAGACCATCAAGGACGCGCTGGCCTTCAGCCCCTCGGTCTCCGCGCTGTCGGTGCTGGCCGCTGACGACACAGTGCTGAAGAAGGCCTTTGCAGACCCCACCACCAACATCACCCTCTTCGCGCCCACCACCAAGGCAAGGGAGGGCTCTGCGCTTGGACCTGCACCTCCGCCGCCACCGGCCCTGCTTCCGCACCACGGCGGTGTCCAGAGGGATTGCAATGATTGCGGTACCCTACAGAGGCGGCCTTGCCAGCCGCGCCCCTGCCTGTTCAATTTCTACAGCCCAGTGTGTCAACTGCACCCCTGCGCTCCACTCAACAAAAGCACTCCACTGTCGCCCACATGCATTCCAACAGTCAATCGAGGATGTCGCCAACGGCGCTGTTACCGGCAAGCTGTTGCAGACAAAGGACTCGGTGCGTCTGTCGGGGTTGTTGCTGTCCTGGAATCCCCCCCCCTCTCGTGTTCGCCGTGAGTAGGCGCGCTCTGGACCCTCCGGCCCCTGACTGCTCTTTGTCGTGTTGTGCGCTGGCCCTGCCACATCACCAATGCGCCACCTCACCGAGGTCAAACAGGTGTCTGACGACTCACCGGGGCGCACCCAACAGCCTTGTTGAGAGTGAAAATCCTGCTCACCCTGTGCCGTGTATGCCGCGCATTCCACGGTGCCCCATATCATGAAACCGCCAGGTCAGCAAGATCCTGCAGTACCACGCCGTGAAGGGCGCGCGCCTGGAGCCGTCCTTCACCGGCCAGGGCACCGTCAAGCTGCCCACGCTGCTGGCCGGCCACAGCGTCCAGCTGTCCAAGGTGAGCCTGATTTGATGCGTGCGCGGACGCCCTGTGATCCGGGCCGCCGGCTTGCAAACCACAAGGAACTGTTATGCTTGAGTTTGAGGCTCTGTGCTAGACTCAGGAGGCTGACTGGGTGGTCGCAGCCCCACAAATTCAAGTCCAGTCTTGTGCTCAACGGGTGCGTGACCGGGTATCACCACGCGCCAGAGTTGATTCTGGTAGCGCAGTCCTCCTCCGCATCCTCCCCGCCCCACTCGTTGCAGCTCGCCTCCACTCCGCAACGCACGCTGGCCCGCCTGCCTACGCTCGCAGGTCATCACCCCGGCCACAGACTCGACCGAGGCCACGGGGGTGATTCAGGTGTTGGCGGACAGCGAGGGCGCCCAGCCCCACATCGTCAAAAAGCACAACATCAGTGAGCAACGGCGCAAGCAGGATTGCAGAGGCCTCAAACTCTCGCCTGCTTTTGCACCACCCCTGCGTCCTGGGTGCTGCAGCATGTGCCTCAGGCTGAATAACTACATCACCCGGCGTATGCTGCCCTTCTGTTTGGGCGCCTGCGATCCCTCCTTCTCCCAGGCCCTAGCCCATGACTCATCGCGGCCTAATATCTGCGCCTCTCACCCCACCTCTCTCACCCGGCTGCTCTATGTGTCTTTGTCACCAAACTTACAGTTGCAGGCGCAAGCTATGTCAACGTGATTGACGGCGTCCTCATCCCCAAGATCTGATCATCCACTGCTCAAGCGCTGCTCAGTGATCTGGAGGGATCTGCACGAGATCTTGCCCAGCATCACACCAGGCAGCGACACCCCTAGATGCGCCACGCTGCACGGCACAGCCTTCGTTCTCGCCACGCAGGAGTGGTTGGGTCTGGCGGGCGTTGGCTGATTTGGCGACCTGGCCCACCGTTTTCCTCGCCTCCCTGACCGTCACTGATCATATGATCTGGGCTGCCTTGGGACAGCTCAGTCTGCAACCCTGGTGCGGGCAAGCTCAACGGCTGCCTGCTGCGCCCTTCCTGAAGACAACCCCGCACGCCATCACGGCCACTTGACCCGCAATTCCACTCGAGGTTTGCCTGGACACCAGCTGGGCCACAGATGCACCTGCTGAGGCTGAGGCAAACCACCCACGTGCCGCTGGGCCAGCATCCCCTGCCGTGCTGCTGCAGGAGGGTGTTGGTGCAGGATGCCGTAAAGCGCAGTGCCCCCCCTCTTACCCTCTACAACATCGGTGCATCCATGGCCGCACAGCACAAACAAGCAGGGGCACGCCCATATCTAGGGGCATGCACGGAAGATGGAGAGTTGCGGGTTTCAATGGATGGAAGCTTACCAGCTGCTGTCAACCATAACGGCCTGCTGGCTGCGCATGCACAACTGCTGTGCTGTCAACTTGAAGAAGGCCACACCACGCATTGAGCGGTCGGCTCAATCCCATGTGGTCATAACAACAACCAGCACTTGTACCTGGAATACATGTTGCGTGGCGGGAATTCCTGTGGTCTGCTTGTGCTTGAGCATTGATTGTGTGTGTGGCACATCATGCCGAAGCAGTCATGGGCAGACACCACACGGCTAGCGACTATATTGAGGCGCTCCATCTGCCGATACAGTCTGGTCATGTCATTGGACGCACGCAACAGTGAGGCTAGTGCTTTTCATGAGCCACCAAGCAAGCTTGCCTGCACTGTGTGCGCGGCACCTGCTGGGCAGTGCAGAGTCTTAGAGGAAGCTGAGGGTATGTGCCTGCGAGCTTGAAAGGAGCTCGGCATGGGGATGATGCCACAACGTTCAGCCGTTACACAGGATTGCTTGGGGTTGAGGAGAGGACTTGCAGCAGGATATTGCAAGGGGGGGGGGTGCAAACAGGGTGTGAGTGTGCATGATAGCCCCGCTGCGCACGCGCATGTATGGTTGAGCGCGGTGGCAGCCATTCAGCAGTGCTCTATCTTGCAAAGGGAGCACATCTCGCTGGCAAAGACAAGAACTGCAACAAATCCCATCACACACACCTACATGCCCACAAACACACACACATACTCGCACATCACGACACCCATACCGCCATCACAGCTCACACGCTCATTGCTTCCAAATCCTGAGGCCATCGGGCCGTCACAGTGCCCTCCAAGTGCACAAGGAAAAGGGAGCTTCGGGGCACACGGCAACCGGCTGGGCGTGATCATCCCCTGCCGGCAGCTTTGGTGTGCGCCTGTCTGGCGCAGCGAAGGAAACGCAAACGCCACAGTTTTTCACGGCTCCCCGTCTACGAGCCTTGATAGCATGTGGGGGGGGGGGGCGCCGTTGCCTCGTCGTGCGTTCGGTGCGCTCAAAGCGAGATTGACTTGATGCGGCCAAAACACGCCTCGCTGGAGCTTCAAAACCGCTGGTGACGCAAATGCAGACACATCGCATGCGTTAGTGGCGGCCTCTTCAACCGATGCCGGCCAGAGGCCAGCAGAAAAGCGGACAGTACATGGCCAGAGGGGCGCGTAGTTGCCGCGGCGCCCTTCCCTGCCGTGCCAGCATGCCAACTGCAGTCATGCATCCCTGATACCAGGTCTGGGCCTGCCACTGCTGTGGGCCGGGCAGGGCGTCTGTGCGCCCATCGGCCATGCACTGCCAAGTGCACCCATCTTGAAAATGCAGCACGCACAAGGAGACACGGGAATGCGGCACCCTGCCGGGGTTGTCGCGGGACTGAGTGGTGTGGGCAGGTTCGGATGGAGAGAATCAACCGATTGACGGGGCCGCAGTCTGCTGCGATGGCAGCAGGGATTGCGGCCGGGGGACGCAGGGGCCGGGCTGGGCTCCAGGGGCGCCCCAGGGCAGGGGCCAAGGGCAGCACAGAGCGCGGCGGGGGCGTCTTGTGTGCCCCCACGGGGCCGCAGGCAGGCGGGACATCCCTGCCTTTGGCCCCTGGTGGAACGTGATAGCAACGAGTATGAGTAATGGACGCGCAAACGCGCCCGATAGGTGTAGGCGTTTTCAAGTTTGGCAAGGTTTGCCAAGATTCTGTCTTGTGGACGGTGTGCCAAGCCGACGCCCTGAGCAGAGTGTGTGATGTATAACTGGGTGTGTCGAACAAAACTCTGTAGTGTGTGTGGGTTGCATCAATCGAAAGCCCTGACTGAGGGCGCGATGTGGGTAGAAGGCGAAGGATATGCGCCGCGCCAAGCCTCGCGCTCGCGGCGCAGCAAGCCACGCAGTAGCGGGCGTCGCAGGGTGCTGGTGGGTGGGCGCGTGGCGCACGAAAGAGCCTCGGCGCCGCTCCAGGAAGCTGTTGATAGTCGAGCAGCGGGACGGGGCGCCGATGTCTCAAAAGGAATCACAAGAAAGCTGAGCCTAACGGCAACCAAAAGCCCCAACACGCCTGCCATCAAGCGTGAGATTGAAGGGTGCCCGCA